CTTCATCCATAGATGTTTTTATATGTATGTGGCAATCCACTAAGATCACGTGGTTATTGTGAAAGCATGCTGTTGTGGATAGCTGGTGTTGAGTCAGTTTTGACTCACAGAGACCCCGGGCAGAACAGAACCAGACACTGCCAGGTCCCGTGCCATCCCCACAATCCTTCCTGTGCTTGAGGCCATGGTTGCAGACACTGTGTCCATCCACTCCACTGTGGCCCGGCCTCTTTTTCAATACACTGCCACTTTACCAAGTATGGGCTCTCTGGTAGCCTGACAAAAGGATGTAGCATGAAGCCCTGCCATCCTTGACGCTGTAAGGAGCACTCGGCTGTATTTCTCATCATCCAGATCTGTTTGGTTGTGGGCTGTCCATGGTACTTTCAATACTCTTCACGAACACCATAATTCAAATGCATCTGTTCGTCGTCTTCCTCATTCAATGTCCAACTTTCTCATGCCTATGAGATGACTGAATTATCATGGCCTAGGTCAGACGCACCTTAATCTTCAAAGAAATATCCTTGCTTTTCAACACTTTAAAGAGGTCTTGTCGAGCAAATTTACCCAAAGCGATGCAGTTTGATTTCTCTTCCTCCCATTTAGTTTCAATATCTATTTTGAAAACTAGACATATAACATTGTACAAAAATACTAACCTGGGTTTTTTTTATCACAGTGAGAATTTTCTTTTCAAAACCAATTTATGGGGAGTTAATATAGATATCATGTCTTTCCATAGTTCAATCACATCAATCAGTATTGCACAATTGCTGCCACAATCCGTTTCAAAACCCTCTTTTCATTCTTGAATTCTCCGTGACTTCAGCTCCCTTTTACCCTCCCCGCTCCACCACTTCCGCACCCCTACAAACCCTTATTCTACTTGCTGTCCCTTTCGGTTCATCAGTCCTGGGCTTGTCTGATCTCTTGATGGCTGCTTCCATGAGCATTGATTGAGGATCCAAGCAAGATGACATGATTAGCCACTTGAATCTTTTCTCCACTTTCCCTGATGCTGCCTACTGGCCTAGTGGGAGGTTTTGGTTTTCCTTACATTGAGTTGTCATCCACAGGGCAGCCTGCAATCCTGATCTTCATCGGCGAGCACTTCAAGTCCGTCTCACTTTCAGCAAGCAAGGTGGAGTTGCTTGCCTGGTGCAAGTTGTTCACAAGCTTAGCTCCATATTTGCTCGTCATACAGACTGAAGAAGTATGGTGAGGGTGTACAAGCCTGATGCACACTTTTCCTGATTCTTCTTTTATAAATCACTTTATTGGGGACTCCTACAGCTCTTATCACATTCCAGACATCAGTTGTATCAAGAATATTTGTACATATGTTGTGATCATCATTTCCAACAAATCTACTTGAGCCCTTGGTAGAAGCTCCTCTTTTTCCCCCTCCCTCTCCCACCCTCGTGAATCCTTGATCAATTGTATATTGTTATGATTATTTTGTATCTTACACTGTCCATTGTCTTCCTTCACCCACATTTCTGTTATTCATCCCCTTGGAGGGGGCTATATATCCAATCTTGTGATGGGTTCCCCTTTCTCACCCTTCCCCCTCCCTGACTATCCCCCTACCCTTATGATATCACTGCTCCCACTGCTCTTCCCGAGGGGTTTATCTTTCCCAAATGCCGTTTGTCCAGAGCTCTTACTGTACCAATGTGTGTTCTCCGGTACATTTGTAACGTAGAACTAGGTCTACTTATCCTGATTTTTAAGCCATGCAGTATACCCTTGTTCTGTTTGCACAATTGCCTCTTGATCCATATGTGATCAACTTCCACATGAGCACAATGTAGTGTTCTGTAATTTACATTCCTCTCACGGGTAGCCATAATTTGTTGTGATCCACACAGTTGAATGCTTTTGCATAGTAAACAAAATACAAATAAACATCCTTCTGGTAATCTCTCCTTTGAGCCAAGATTCATCTGACATAAACAAGTTTCCCTTAGTCCGCATCTGAATCTGACCTAACCCTCTGGCAGGTCCCTCTTAATGTACTGCTGCAACCATTTTTGGATGATCTTCAGCAAAATTTTACTATTGATATCATTCTATAATTTGAGTATTGTTTCCTTGGAATTGGCATAAATATTGATCTCTTCCATTCAATTGGTCAAGTGGTTGTCTTCCAAATTTCCTGACACAGAGGAGTGAGTGCTTCTAGTGCTTCATCAGCTTGTTGAAACATTCCAATTATATCAATTCCTGGAGCCGTGGTTTTGATTCATGCTTTCTGTGCAGCTCTTGACCTTCTTCCTTCAGTACCCTTGGCTCTTGCTCAAATGCTACCCCTGTAAATGGTTGAAGGTTCAGTAGTTCTTTTTGGTATAGTGATTCTGTGTATTCTTTCCATTTTCCTTTGATGCTTCCTGCATAGTTCAATATTTTTTCCTTAGATTCTTTCAATATTGTAACTCATGAAAGCATTAAAGCTCAACATATAAGAAATTGTTATTAAATATTATCTAGTAATACGATTGCACATAGCTCTCATTTTTGAATACTTTAATACTTCAAGATTTCCTCTTTTCTGTCTTAATGGCTAGTGGACAACACTCTGGAAGAACTTTTGGCAATCTGGCAATCAAGTGTTCTGTATTGAAAGTTAGGAAAGACAGGTGGGTTTTTACCAGGATACTGTATCAGGACTAAATGGCACACATTCTTCCTTATGTGCTTCCAGTAGCTTAGACGCTGACCCTGTTATGAGTGGAGCTCTATCCTGCACTTGAAAGACCATTTCAAAGACAGCTAGTTTTATAAAGAACATGTCACGGAAGGAGACAGCATGGCCTTTGTAATTCAAGCAGCTCTGAAGGGATTGCATTTATACCATTTACTGGCTGTCTGAGCTTCCACGGGGGATTTCACTTCTGGAAGTCTCAGTTGGTTCACTGTGTGATGGGACCAATGATCCCTATGTTGCAGGGTATTGTGAAAATTAAATAAAGCCACCATTCACATTAAACAAAAGTCACACCTGTCAATGTGCCTCGCATTTTATAAGCCCTCAATCTATGTTAACTGCAGTTGTCATCAATAAAGTAGTTATCAAATATACAATAATGATATATTTCAATATTTTTTGGTAATATATACAAGTGGTCTATATACAATCTGAGCAATGTGCTTTTAAGTTATTGCTATTAATATTCATTGTCGACCTTTAGTGAGTATTATATGGTAGGCACTGAGCTAAATGTTTTATCTGCATTATCACATACAATCTCCACAGCAACTCTATAACATGGATATTGTTATCCCCAATTTATAGAGAAGAAACTTGAAGCTTAGGAAGAGGAACTCAATTATTTGTGTTTACATTGTGAGGTAGTTAGTTTATTTTGCCAACCTGGCCGATAAACACATGTAGGATTAATTGAAGGGCCGAGGGATAAATGGCTCAGTGAGCCTTGCCTTTTGAGTTCTCAGGTCTCTTGCTTTGTGGTGGTTGGACCAGGGCACAGCTGCCTTAGCCAGTTGCCTGTTCTAGCTGGCAAGGCTTCACTTCCTGTAAGACATCCCCAAGGAGAAGCTGCAAGGACCTACCCCGATGCAGCCCTGGGTGCTGGAGCAGCTGTGTGTAGACTCCTGCCAGCACTGAGATGCTTACACACTCACTGATTTGGCTTTCCTCCTGTAGTCGGTGTCATAGTGTGTGTTTTGTGAGATGGAGGAAGACTTTGTGGATTGGTGTTGGACATATGGGTTAATGGGTTAATGCTGGACTTGTGGGCTTGGGCAACACTGGGTTGGGATGTTTTCTTGATGTGCACTTACCCTTTATATCAAACTCTCATACATATGAGTTTCTATGGATTTGTTTCTTTAATGTACCTAGACTAACACACATGGGGTCTGGTGTCAACTGAAAGGGCAAGCTTTCAAAATCCTGTTGCTTTTGAATCGATTCCAACTCATCACCACCCTGTGGGATAGAAGAGAACTGCGCCATCAGGTTTTAAAGCCTGTGTCTTTCTGGGATCAGGCTGCTCTACTGCACAACGCTTGTGGGTTTGAATACCACGCTTTCAGTGAACAACTGGGTGTTTAACCACTTTGCCATCAGGGCTCCGCTTCATTAGTTTCATCATCTTTTTAAGAAGAAGCGGGGTGGGGAGGAGAAAGGAGAGAGAGTGGGAGGGGGGAAAGACTGGTCTTCCTCTGACTATTCATTGTTGCTGTTAGTTGTTGTGGAGTCAGCCTACACATCTTGTGGTAACAAGAGGAAAGCACATCAACATGCTGCCCTGTCCCATGTGGTCTCCGCGATCAGGTGCAGATCGGATGGTTGGGATCCACAGGGTTTCCTCTGGCTGATTTGTGGAAGCAAATTGCCAGTCCATCTTCCTAGTCCATCTTATTCTGGAAGCTCCACTGAGACTTGTTCGGCATCAGAGCTACACACAAATCTCCATTGACTGTTGGGGGGTTGGATGGGCTGTGCATGAAGTGCAATGGCCAGAACTTGAACCCAGGTCAGCTGCACGAAGGCATGAACTCTACCACTAAACTACCACTGCCCCTACTCTGAATTTTAAAAAGCCTGTTTTGCTTCTAATGAACCTCATGCTCCCTGTTCATTTCTTGTCTTTTCATGTACAGTACATGTGTTATTTACAGCACACCCAGAACCATAGCTTGGCATTAGAATTCCGTGAGGTCCTTTTTGAGAATCAGATTACCACACACTATTTTTAGCACTCAACACAAACGACTCTTTCCATTACAGTTTTAAATATCCAATGATAAAGTGTATTGCAAAGCGCTCTTAGAGCTAAATAAAAGACTTGGATTTGCTTTAATTAGGGAAGACCCGTTGAATGGCATTGGTTTAGTGCCGTGGCTGAAGGGGTGCCCTGTCAGTGCCTCCACTTCACACCCTCCTCCCCCATCTGCTGCTATAATTATCTGCCTTCTTGGCCATAAAAGGCTGGCTGTGGGGCCTGACATTCTCCTGCCTGACCACATGCAGTATTTTTGAACTGGCCCCTGGGGTCCTGTCTTAGCTGCCTTTTAACTTGCTCTTGGATTCAACCTGGGGGATTCTTCCCTCCTCCAGCAGCCTCACAGCCCCATCGGAACATTCGCATCACCAGGACTACTGGGGAAACCGGTAAGAGTGGCACTGAGCGGAGGAATGGACTTGATATGGTATTTGCTTACTGGCCCTGGGAGTGTGTGCTTCTTTCTGTCTTTTGAGCTCAGCAGGTTGCTCCACGAGCTGTCAGGACAGCAGGGACGTAGGAAAGTGAAGCTGCAGGAAGGAGCAGCAAGAGCAGCCGGGACCCAGTTGTGCTGGCCTCGCTTACGCTCTGATCGCTGTGTTCTTGTCAAATGAAGCCACTGCTCCTGGCACTGCCAGGGTGAGCTAAGTCCTCCTTCCAAGTTGGTCATTCTATGGTTCGGCTGAAATCTGGCATGGCAGGGAATCTGTGTGGCCTGTGATAAATTAGACCGAAAGGAGGCAAATCACTCCAGCCACTCATTTGGAAGGTTGTGACTTAACTCTGACAAGGCAACTGGGCAAAGTCAGAGGAAAGCACAGGATTCCTAACCTAGAAATGGTTAAGTCACATGTCAGAGGGAACACAGATTGACTGACAGTTAATCACCTTCTGTGAAGAATTTTTAATGAGCCTATGTCATCTAATGCCTATACAGAAGTATCATGTCTGTGTGACAACCATGGAATTAGTATTTCATCCTACATTCCCAAATTATTTTCATGAAAAAAATATAGGTCTTAAACAAGCAGAAGACAACAAGAAACCTTCGTTCCTTCCAACATTCTTCAGCCGTTTTCAGCAAGGGGATAATCCTTGCTGAATTTATGAAGAGAAGGTGGTAGCATCTTTGTTCCAGGGGTCAGAGCCATGACAATCAGCTCTGAGAACATAAAGTCCAACGTTGTTTACTTGGTATAAACTGCTTATGTGCTTGGAATATTAAGTGTTATTAAAAAAACAAATGTATTTGGGAAAAGCAGATATTAAAAAGAGAATAGCAAGCAGTATTGGGGCTTGCTGTTAGAAAGAGTTCATTTAGCAAACATAGCAGCATTTCATTTTCTGGGTTGTGAATTTAGCATATAATATCATACATACCCATTGCTGTCAAGTTCATTGCGGTTCACAGCAATTACAGAGGACAAAGTTGCCTCAGTTTCCAAGTTGTAATTTCTATGGATGCAAACGTCCACATCTTTTGCCCTCAGAGGAGCTGGTGAGTGTAAACCACTGACCTTTAGGTTTGGAACTGAGCACTTCAATAATTGTGCTACGTGGACTCTTTACATCATGCATCAGAAATGAATTAATCATTTTTTGGAAATTATTCAAATATCATTGACCATGTTATAATGTATCATTATCACATATAATGATACATTATAATGTATCATTGCAGATGCAGAATCCTTATAACGCTATCCTAATCCTATAATGTAAATTCTAACTTCTTTGTTTTGTCAAAAATGAATATCAAGAATTTCTCATCATACATGAATTATTCATCATACATAATATAGAGTATTATAATTATTTGCTATGTCTAATAATAGAAAAAAGCCATCTATTTAGTGGTTAAATAAAAGTTGCTTGCTAGTAGCTATTTTTTCCCCTCAACAAATGCCATGTAGACTGATATCTTCCATGAGACTAAATATTTCTGGAGTGAAGTTTGCTGGGGTTTCTTCTCTAGGGGATACACAGTGACATTTTAAATAGCTTAAATGAAAAGTACTTTTAGATTGACAAAAAATACAGCGAGTTTAGAAGGATTTACTTGTCACATGGAGTTTTTAAAAAAAATTTTATTATTAATTAAGGTCTGGCCAAATGAATCCAGCACAGAAAATTATAAGGAACAAAGAAACCAGTCGTAACACAAAGGAAAAAAGCAGCAAAATAACAGCAATAAATTCATATCCACCAATAATGATACTGAATGTAATTGGATTAAATGCAGCAGTCAAGTAGAAAGATGGATAAGAAAATAGGACCCATCCATTTACTGCTTACAAGAAACACACCTTAGACACAAAGACAAAAATAGCCTAAAAGTTGAAGGATGTGGGAAAATATATCTAACTTATGACAATCAAAAGGAGCAGGAGTGACAATATAATCTGTGATAAAATAGATTTCCAGGGAAAATTTATAATGAAAGACACAGAAAGGCATTAATTACAGGGACAATTAAGCAAGAAGACTTAACCATAATAAATCTGAAAGACTCTCGAAATACATTAGTCAAATGCTTATATAGCTAAAGAGAGAAATAGATAATACTACAAAATAATATGAGACTTCAATACGCCTCTCTTCGGGAAGAACAAAACATCAGGAAAGAAGTGTAATAAAGATACAAAGGAACTAAGCCACACAATTAACCACTTGACCTCTAGACATGTAGCACTCCACCCAACAATACCAAGATATACATTCTTTTCCAGCACACATGTAATAATCTCCAGGATAGACCATATGTTAGGACACAAAGGAACCCTTAATACACCGAAAAACTACAAAGAGTTTTCTCAGGTACAATGCTATAAAGTTAAAAAAAAAAGGAAGATTAAAAAAGAGAAAATATATGGAAACTGAACACACACCCTGTTTATAAACTACTGGATAATTGAAGAAATGAAAAGAATGGAATTTTAAAATTCATTGAAACAAACAAGAACAAAAATATAACATGCCAAAACCTTTAGGACACAGCAAAAGCAGTCATCAGAGGGGCAGTTTATAATAATAAACACACACATCAAACAATAGGAGACAATCAACACCTTAATGTCCACAACAATTAGAACAAGAGAATCAAAATAAGCCTTCAACCAACAGCTGAAAAGAATTAATAAAGACTAGAGCAGAAATAAATAAATCAGCAAATAGAAAAAAACAAATGAGATAAGAAGATGGTTCTGAAAGAATGAACAAAACTGACAGATCAGTGGCAAGCTTGCCAAAGGGAAAGAATGAGATGCAACTATCACGAATAAGGAAAGAAAGGGGCAACCCCACAACAGAACCCACTGGTATGAAAACAGATAACACAATACTATGGCGAGGAGAGTGTAGGAGGCCTGGTGGGGCTTGATCAAGATCAGTGTAACCGAGAGGAATTACCAAAACCCAAATGAAAGCTGAGGATGATAGTGGGACAAGAGGAAATTAAAAGGAAATAGAGGAAATAACTAGGAGGCAAAGGGCATTTATAGAGGTGTAAATACAGACATGTACATACGTAAATGTATTTATGTATGACAATGGGGAACCATATCTATGTACCTATATTTATAGATTTAGATTAAGGTAGCAGATGGACATTTGGGCCTGTACTGAAGTACTCCCTCAATGCAAGAACATTTTGTTCTATTAAACTGGCATTCCACCTTCCCAACACGATTGCTGAAGACAAAGCAGGTGCATAAGCAAATGTTGTGAAGCTGATGGTGCCCAGCTATCAAAAGATATAGCATCTGGGGTCTTAAAAGCTTGAAGATAAACAAGCCACCATCTAGCTGAGAAGCAACAAAGTCCACATGGAAGAAGCAAACCAGCCTGTGTGATCACGAGGTGTCGATGGGATCAGGTATCAGGCATCAAAGAACAAAAAATCATATTATTGTGAATGAGGGGGAGTGCAGAATGGAGATCCAAAGCCCATCTGTAGGCAATTGGACATCCCCTTAAAGAAGGGTGTCAGGGGAGGAGACGAGCCAGTCAGGGTGCAGTATAGCACCGATGAAACATACAAGTTTCCTCTAGTTCTTTAATGCTTCCTCCCCACCATTATCATGATCCCAATTCTGTCTTACAAATCTGGCTAGACCAGAGAATGTACGCTGGTACAGATAAGAACTGGAAACACAGGAAAACCAGGAGAGATAAGCTCCTCAGGACCAACAATGACAGTGGTGATACCAGGCGGGGAAGGGGAAGGGGGTGAAGACAGGGGGAACCGATCACAAGGATCTACATATAACCCCCTCCCTGGGAGATGGACAACTGAAAAGTGGGTGAAGGGAGACATCAGACAGTGTAAGATATGACAAAATAACAATAATTTATAAATCATCAAGAGTTCATGAGGGAGGGGGAGCAGGGAAGGAGGGGGAATAAGCTGAAACTAAGGGCTCAAGGAGAAAGAAATGTTTTGAGAATGAAGATGGTAACAAATATACAAATGTGCTTTACACAATGGATGGGTGTATGGATTGTGATAAGAGTTGTATGAGCCCCAATAAAATGATTTGAAAAAGAAAAAAAAAACCCACAATACTATGAAGGACTGTACTACAATACATCTGAAAATCCAGAAGGAATGAACCAATTCCTAGAAAGACACTGCTTCCCTAAATTAAAACAGAGAGATGTAGAAAACATCAACAGACCCACGACAATGGATAGATATAATGATTTCAAAATTCCCAACAACAACAAAGTCCAGGAACAGACAGCTTCACCCAAGAATTCTAGTAATCATTCAAAGAAGAAATAACACCAACTTAACTCAAATTATTCAAGAATATAGAAAGGGATAGCACACTGCAAAACTCATTTTATGAAGCAAGCATAATCCGGAAAAGGTCCGGAAAAGACATTTCCAAAAAACCCAAAGTAAACTCAGTGCCCACAAGGAGATTTTGACTCTTAGCAATCATGTAAGACAGAGTAGAACTGACCGTGTAGGTGTCTGAGACTACACATCTTCATAAGAGTAGGAATCGTTATCTTTCTCCTGCAGAAAGATATTTTCAGAGTAGAAAATGACAGACCAATATCCCTTCTGAAAGGAGATGCAAAAATTCTAGACAAAAATCCAAGCTAATAAAATACAACTAAATAAATAAATAAAAGTTCATCACAATCAAGCGAGAGTCTACCAGATATGCAAGAATGGTTCAACATTAGAAAAGCAATCACTATGATCATTATATAAATAAAACAAAGAAAAATAAGTACATGATCATATCAGTTGATGCAGAAAAGGCATTTAACAAAATTCAAGCATCCATTCCTAATGAAACATTCAACAAAATAGGAGTAGAAGGAAAATTCCTTAACATAATAAAAGGCATATATCTTGATTAATGGGGAGAAATTG